GGATTGCCTGCTAATTGAGGCACTCAATTAGGAGGATTGCCTGCTAATTGAGGCACTCAATTAGGAGGATTGCCTGCTAATTGAGGCACTCAATTAGGAGGATTGCCTGCTAATTGAGGCACTCAATTAGGAGGATTGCCTGCTAATTGAGGCACTCAATTAAGAGGATTGCCTACTAATTGGACAGATTCAGGGCAAAATTCCTGAATCCAGGGATTTTTGAACTTATACCCAATCCAGGGAATTTGAGAGCCTGATTTGTTGCTTTTGGTGCTCATTGGCATCTTTTTTGGCTCAGACTCAGGCCTGAATCTGGGAAATAGATAGTTAGGCACTCAATTAAGAGGATTGCCTGCTAATTGGACAGATTCAGGGCAAAATTCCTGAATCCAGGGATTTTTGAACTTATACCCAATCCAGGGAATTTGAGAGCCTGATTTGTTGCTTTTGGTGCTCATTGGCATCTTTTTTGGCTCAGACTCAGGCCTGAATCTGGGAAATAGATAGTTAGGTCTGCCTTTCCATAGATAAAATGAGGTTTTTGCTATGGATTGGACCTCAAAATGATATCAATATTGACCAAACTACTGCAAACCAGACATAAATGCAGGTTTTGGAGTGATTTAGGAAGACTGGAGTTCCGGCTGGATTGCCTTTCCAGGCAAAAAAGCACTCGAGAGGCCCAAAACGCTAAGGGAAAGGGCATGCCCTTTCCGGGTGTAATATAGTTAGGGTGTTAAAAAGCTTAAATTATGTTAGGCAAAAGTTATAGAGCTCATGACTTTTGCCTAACATAATTTAAGCTTTTGAATACTTATAAAATTTGATTGTAAACAAAATTCTGTAAATAGGTGAATAAATAGTTCCATAAATAAGAGGATATGGTGGGATGGATTGTTGAGTCACAAAGTACTGACTGTACTCAGTTGAACGGGTAGAATGGAGATGACTGCTGGCTCACACCGAGAAAAATGGATGGTACATAATGAGTAAAGTATGTAGTTGCCCAAGTTGTTCCAATTAATTACAGACAGCATGATTGGTGGGAAGAAATTAAGTATCAAGGTCAAGGGGAAAGCCAAAGTCAAAGTTCAGGCCGAAGTTGAAGTCAAAGTCAAAGTCAAAGTCAAACTGGAAGCCGAAGTCAAAGTCGAAGTGAAAGTCGAAGTCGAGCGCTAATTCAAAGTCGAAGCTGAAGTCGAAGTCGAACCAAAGCCGAAGTCGAAGTCGAAGTCGAAGTGAAAGTCGAAGTCGAAGTGAAAGCCGAAGTCGAAGTGAAAGTCGAAGTCGAAGTCGAAGTCGAACTCAAAGCCGAAGTCGAAGTGAAAGTCGAAGTCGAAGTCGAACTCAAAGCCGAAGTCGAACTCAAAGTCGAAGTGAAAGTCGAAGTAGAAGTCGAAGTAGAAGTCGAAGTCGAACTCAAAGCCGAAGTCGAAGTGAAAGTCGAACTCAAAGCCGAAGTCAAAGTCGAAGTCAAAGTGAAAGTCAAAGTCTAAGTCGAAGCAGAAGTCGAAGTCACGTGTGGGAATGAATTAGATGCCCACTCCTGCTCGTACCAATTCACCTCTAGAGGGTGCAAATTATAATTATATTGGCTGGAAATAGTGTAGAATTACTGCTATGAGATAGCTCTACCTGGGGATATAACTTTTATAGCAAGTAATTTTTCCCCAATTAGTGTCAACGCTGCTCAGAAGAGAGTAATCGACGGTATGATACTCCTGTCTATTCATGGGAATTGCCACGAATAAGCACCACGTTGAGTATGTTAAATAATTATGAGGACTACAGGTAGTTTTGCCATAGTCTTATTGATGGCAAAAAAGAAAGTCAGTCGGAAACAAAAAGACCCAGCAGGGATTCAAACCCCGGCATTTTGGTCATATTTCAGCAAACTCCTCATATTTAGCAAATGCTCTACCACTGAGCTACTGGGACTTGAGAAGCTCAAAGTTCACTTAAGGCAAGTACTGATAACCCTCTTCATGGACATCCTTGTTTGCTCATGGGAATTGCCACCAATAGGCACCTTCGTGGACAGCATGATTCTCACGTTGTTTGGTGATGGAAATTACTTTATTTTAGCTCCAACGAGCGCCTAATTTCCAGAAGAAGTGAATAGGCGCCCAATTCAGGTGCCAGGTATCAGCCGGAATTTGTGTAACAGCTGCTCTCTAGCTGTACCCTAGCTGTCCCCCAGTTCTCCCTACCTGTACCCTAGCTGTACCCTAGCTGTACCCTAGCTGTCCCCTATAATTTGCCCCCTAGTCTGTCCCCTAGAAGTCTCTAATAACCCCCCTGAAAGGTATGTATGTAAATTAAGATAGATTAATTATACCCAATGTCTGGAATAATTCAGTCAATATGTTATAATTTTAATATGAACGCACTTACATTGAACGTGAACGCACTTGTTTGAACGCAACGAACTCGAACGCAAATCCGTCGGAACGCAGAACGCACCGGCGGAACGCGAAATTATACCGTCCGTATGAGTAGGCTAGCAGGTGTCAAGGTGGTGGTGATCAGTCAAGAAGTTGATGTTGTCGAAGTCAGTGAGGAAGGATTCATCATTTGGAAGGGTATCGATGACAGCGACGATATCGTTTGGGCGAAGTTAAACAATTTGGTTTTTCATTAGAACATATTACAATTATACGAAGAATTTGGAGTTTATTTTATTTTATTTTAATTTTATTTCGTCTTGGCTTCCAGTGAGGTGATAAGAGATTATTTCTGTTTCAAATATATATATCCGGTCGCTGGAGTCTAACAGGACAATTCAGGAGCTAAGAGACAACGTTTCCGATTAATGGAGAGTAGGTAAACTAAGTAGGGAAGGACATACACCCCATCCCAATCTAGGAGCCGTAGATTGGATGTAGACAGTGAATTTAAGTTCTTCCAGATCTTCTTTAAGCCGGGACTGAGTTTCGAGGTAGGAGAGGCGGTCCACCCATTTGAGCCAGCAGGAAGACTCGATATATCGAACGCCTTGAGCTCGATGGGCGTAGAGTCTTGGGCAATCTGGGTAGCGTGTTCTTTGAGCTCGGCGGCGGCGTCTCTGGCTAAGCGGCGGTCGCCCATTTCCTTCTTGACGCAGCGGTCTTCCGACTTCTCTTGGACGAGTCGCGTTGAGAGGTTGAATGGAGCGTTTCGGACTTAGGGAAGGAAGGGGGTTGAGAGCTTGAGGGATCGGATGGGGAAGATGTAAGCCTAACGTTCGGAAGGACGGAGCGCGCTCTAAGGTTTTCCTCCCCTCCACAATCTTCCACTTCCAAACTCGACGCCCTCGTCCTCAAGAGTCAACCCTTCCCTTTCCACCTCAATGCGGCCCTTGTTGTCCTCCTGTCAAGCCTCCCTAAGATCGAATTGGAGAAATTTTAGGCATCGGGCCGTCGTTGTAGGAAAATAAGCTGGATTGAGTGAGTAAGCGCCCATCCGGATACGATTGCAAGATATAAATATGTTCGACGCGTTGGATACGTGAAGTAAGGTCCGCTTACGCGTCTGGCCTGTGGAGGGGCTTGACAGTGCTAACGTGCCCTTCGACAACGTGTTCAACGCGCAGAAAAGGGGGGATACCCTGTAGGAAATCTCTGCTAACCTCCTGACCTGTGGAGAGGCTTGGAGGGGCGGGTTTCCTAACGATACCCCCCTAAGAAGAAGAAAAGAAAAGAACCCATACCTGTTGACATTTCGGGGGAGGCGTTCGTCGAATATCGTGGCTCTAGGAGTTGGTAGAAGGAGAACAAGAGGCGTTAACGCCTGTAAAGTATTAAACATAGTCACATGCCTTGGTGGCACTAAACGAGTGGCTGATTTTAACTCCTAAGTACTGGCGTATAACTTGAACGAAAATTGAATTTTAACTGTATAAGTACTGTACGTATTACATGCAGTAAAATACTTAATAAAGGCGTTACACTAGACTGAATCTAAATGTATATAGAGCATCAATACACGAAATTTTATGCAAGGAATAACTGAGAAGGCAAAGAGCTGCTTTGATAAGTTTTCTAACGTTACAATGGCCGACGCCTTCAATCTTTAGACCGAAAAACTGGCCACCGAGACAGGCACCCCAGAACGTTTAGGCAGTGAGCACGGCCACTAGGGAGATCAACGAAATCAGTAAGTCTAAAACGCGAAACTCGTCGTGAATCCCTATCCTTGGTCCTCTGTGCAAATAGTTTCCAATTCTGATTCATATTCAGATGTAAATGTAAATGTATCTGAGCTGGGTACCATTGATTTCCCCTTTTTCCCTTTCTTCTTCTTTGATTTCTGGAACTCAGGTAAGGAGAAATGAGTCGTAAGTTTGGAGTGGTGCTTACCAATGCCTTTGCACTGCTTGTTGACGGCCATGAGATGGTATAATACGAGCTGAGTGTGCTCTGCCAAAGAAATCACTCTACTTTTGGCGGAGATGTTAGAGTTGGATCTGTGACAGATTGCTACGAAGAATTGTCGTGAGCATGATATATAGATAAGAGACAAGCGGCATATTCACTGAAAGAAGCGGAGTTGCAGAAGCGTTGCCGGACACGGTGAGGCCCAGTTGTTTAGCGTGGTCGGCGGGTTCAATGAGTCGTGAGAAAGTCGAAGAGCCAGCGGGTTCCAATGGACAAAAAGAAAGGGAGTGGACATCTGCAAAGGGTGAGCAACAAACGAAAACGGATGTCATATATCGAAACTCACTTTGAACTTGAGGATGTTGTCAGTCATCTGGCTGTAAGAGAGTCACCGTCACCGTTGACCCAGCCCATACCCCATGTTTGTGTTTATCCGTTCGATTTCAGATTGCCTCGTAGACGAACAAACTTTCGAGTTTGAATTTGAGAACTCGTTTCCTCGTTATTCCTACATTTGCATAATTCATCCAGTTGGTTCGAAGAGGCAAGCATGTGCTTGATACAGTACGGACAGGCTCGAGTCAAAAAATGACTATCGGAAGAACTCAGAAAAGAAAGGGGCCGATGGTGAAAATTAGAAATACCTCCGAAAAAGAAATGAGAGGTTCACGAAACGAACAAAGATATTGCTTTGAGGCGGCTATGTCGAGTAGATGGCGGGTATAACACACTCGCTGAATGTTGAACGCCACCACAATACAAATGTGATGGAGCCCAAGGTATGATCATCAGAGGAATGGTTCAACAAATGTCATCAGAGACACAGTGAAAAGGGTGAATAACGTTACATAACGAAGCAAGGATGACACCAAAGAAATATAATTGACCTATATTTCCCAAATGACTCCTTTCAACACGTACAGTTGTCCCGAACTTCGATCCTTCAACAACCGGAGCCCAGACCACTCATCAACGCATTTGTGACGTGAGCGCGGGACAGCTGCGGAACTGCGCAGTGAGGAGTCGGACGCAGTGAGGAGTCGGACGCAGTGAGGAGTCGGATGCAGTGAGGAGTCGGATGCAGTGAGGAGTCGGATGCAGATGAGCATGAGGTACGGGTTGGGCAGGGAGTTCATGTGCGTAGAATGTGGCAAATAGACTGTGAACGCGTGAATGGCCGTGCTGGTCTACTGAGGGTGATATGAACATTCGAGTGTCGCTAGTGACAACCGAAGACAAACTCGAAGTCGAATTGGATCTTGCGTTCACGGTATAGCAGCTTGTATAGGCGGAGATATCTACCAATGAGGTTGCACCAAATTCTAATCCCATACAGAGACCTACCCGCGATGGGTTTCATAAACCTTGAATGCGCCTAGAGGGTCAATGACAAGGTCAAAAGACGAAGGACATTCAGATAAACGGAACTGCTAATTTAGGTTGCGTGAGGTCGAGCTCAATCGAACCACCCGAGTGCCTCATCCTCAACTGAAACCCCTTGTTCGCCAATGTGGCCAGTCGTCTTCAATATATAGATAACGAGATAGACGGAATGTCCACAAAATCTATCATCGATGAGAGCAAAAAGGCAAGGGCAGAAATTTGGCGATCCGGATTTGAAGTATTGGTGTGAATGAAGAGCGCGGGAGTGGATTGAAGGAGTGTTACGGCGATGGGTTTTAAGGAAGGGAATACGTCAATAGGCGCCGGTATAGGTGTTGATCTGACTCTGAACAAAGCACGTACTACTACAACTGCTATGTACTATTTAGTGCACTCAATATTCTTCTTTCAGCTCCGAACGCGGGTAATTAACGATTATTCAATGAATCCTCGACATTGCAGGAAGTTAAATAGTGTACATACAACTACATACAACGTGTATTCCTCTAACATGTCGCGATTTGCAAGGTGTCAAAGAGCTCTAATAACTAGTGAATACAGTATAGTTCGACCAAGTGAAGAAAAGGATTCTCAGTTCTCCTGAGACAAATCTTGACGAAGGAGTGTGTTAATCCAATCTTATGTCCCAGCAAAACTTCCGTGTCTAATACAATGCTGACGGGAAAGCAAACACAGAAAATTGTAGTTTCTCTATGGTGCATCTGGCTTAGTCACTACCACTGGCAGTTTTCAACAACTGAACCGGCTTACTCAATTTCCAGTTTTTTTCTTATCCCTCCTGAAATCAGTCTTCACCAAAATCTGAGTATAACTAGTTCAAGTTGCACAGTACCACTTCTTGTATTTCTGATCACTATTGTAAAAAAGGAAGACATCCATTTCATTCATATATTGAGGAGCCAGTTACAGTATAAGAAATCTATTCAATCATTGGCAAGGGAAAATTGATACATCCGATCCATTTCTGCTTCAAATCGGGGGTCAAACATTTTTATCCATGGGCTCTTCTTTCGAGGGAAAACAGGCTGGGGTTGTTGACGAGGATCATTTTCAAAGTTCAGAGTAGCAGCCTCATTAGAGCCCACATCATCCCTCATTTCTAGCAAAAGTACCTCTGCCCCAAGCATGGCCACCCCCAGCAAACGCCCCTCCCACCTCTGCGGCCCAGCTAGTAGCATA